AACACTACTCACAGAAACCCAACATGTATTTGCGGTTCTTCATTACTGACAGCATCACCATAAACAGGTTCTTCCAGATCTTCATTCCTGCAGGAACAGAAAGTACTGTAAACTACATACTGACCTAAGCTGTTAAAACATAATGAAATGGACTTTTATTTCATGATTTGTGGATATAAGATATTGTTTGGTAATACAAGAGGGACTAGTAATATAGAGGGAATTGAGATACTTATTTAGAAACAGAAAGCAGTAGAAATTCACAAGTTTAAAAAGCTGAGGTTTTAGAGTATCTCTTTCAAGATCTTTAGATTATTTTAATATTTATTCTGCCTTCCATTTCTCTTTAGCATCCTCACAACCTTATCTTCTTCCCAGTTACTATTTATTGTGTTAAAACAACTGCATAAAGCAACCACATCTTCACCCATCCTTCAATCACTTGGTAAACTTACACATTTTTAGATTTTCAGCAGTTCATATGTTTCTTCCTTGCAGTTATACTTTTATCACATGCTACTCAGAATTGTAAGTCACACTCTGTATAATTCTATTTCGTTATAGATGGCTGAAATAAAATTACTGATTTATGACTAATAAGCTGAGAAAACTGTCTTTCAAGGGAGAAGTATATGGTGTTAAAATGTTGGAGACAAAACAAAAGGGGCTTGGCACTCATGAAGATGACAGTGGAACTTCCTTCCTCTAAAATATGCAACTTCATATTCTTACGTTACTAATAATTAGCAATTTTGAAAGCATATTCAGAAATTTACAACGAATTCTTTCGGACCACGTGGTAGAACAGGAATATTTCCAGATTACTATGCATTTATACACCTGACCTTTTGCTTAAAGCTTCAAATACGCCACTGTCACTAGTCAGTGAATGATCTGAGAGACATGCTGAAACTCGCCTGGCTCTCCTCTCCGATCTTCTACCACTGTCTCCTCGCAGAGTTACAGCTGTCATGGAGAAAAAAGTGAGGACAACATCAGCTCAAAGCAATCTCTTAGAAATTAAACAAGAAACATCTATTGTACCCAAACTAGTGGCAAAAAGGTTGGCACAAACACAGTTCATTGCTTTTTCATCTAACTTTAAGTTAAAAACCTAGAAAACAATCGACCGGAGATTATTCTGTGGGAGAATTAAGGAAGGAAGTTTGTGGCTAATTCCTCTCTGACAAGACTAAGTATAAACCAATTGCATTGTTATTAAATGCTTTTCTGGTGGAATAATCCCTCCTGGAGGAAGACTTACATTAATTCAACATATGTACACATGATATCCTAAACTTTTAAGATTTACCTTGTGAATATACAATAGGCTGAAAACAAACACAGAGACTAATTCTTTTAAGAAGTTATCTGATAACACAATGTGAGGTTTTGTTCTCATTTGTTTCCTAATACAAAGTCTCAAAGCACACTGTTTATACCATCGCATAATAGCAGCTTTTATTTACAGTCTGAAAGGCATTATCAAAAAGAACCAGTGCTTTCCAACTCACTCAGACCACTCTTTTTTCGAACTCTTGGTGAATGACTTTGAAAACTGACTGGGGGAGGAGAAGGAAGCAATACTCAACCCCCTCTTCCACCCTTCCCCAAATCACCAGCCACACCATAAATAGCGACTCAGCAATCATTCTCACGTTGTAAGCGTATCGACGAAAATGATATTATAGATCAGGTTTTGCACTGGCCAGTAGGTATAGCAGCTACCAACCCTTTAAGGTACGTGAACAAGTGGTAATGCTCAAGAATTGCATAGGTAAGGCTTCGTCACTTCAGTGACAGCTCCTAACTTGACATTGTTTTCTTTCCTGTCCTAGAGAGGACCATTAAACAGACTTTTGGAAGAGCAGTTTTTTCACTGTGCAGTGAAGAACTTTTGCCTGCTTTCCCCCCTTTTACTTATGGCTCAATGACCGTCCTCAAAGCAGAAAAGCAACATCAGAGAGGTGCCACTTCAGAAGTAAGGGAAAGCATCTTATTTGCTTCTACCCATACTCAGAAGCTTAAAACAGCCAGCATAGAAGTATTCCCAGTTTCAGCAGACAGCGTTTGGAGTGACAGCAGCACAGTGCACATCACCCAGGAGATGAGCACCAGCTGACGTTTACTGCTTACGACCCTTGACTAACGATGAAACATGCCTTACTCAGAGCAACAACTCATTACCTAATCTCTGTTACGTGTTATCTTAAGGCATCAAAAACAAAAGGCTGGCACCCCATCAGGAAGCTTCCCTCAGCAGAGTGCCAGCCAACAGCCCGAGCTCCACCTGCAGAGCCCAGCTGGGGTACAGCCAAGCGAGCCACCCCTCTGCATGGGATCCATCTCGCCTCCTACCCAAGCACCACCAGGACAGGACATCAGGACTTGAAACTTGATTAAAAATCCCCCAAATTAACACAACCATGCCGCTGCTGTCAACAGAAGTGTCTGGCTAAGGCTAGCTTTAACCCACCGTGGGACCGGCAGACAGGATGCACTGAGCCTGGCATTCCCGCTCCCACCCCAGGTACGCTCTTTTCATCAGGGTGCCAACAACCCCAAAGGATATTCCAAAAACTACAGGGTCCTGTTTGGAGCTACAATTCACTGGTTCTGCCCCAGAATGTCCCCAAAAAAACCACAAAAAGACATCCCACAAACTGGACGGCACCAGTTCTTTGTCCTTTTGGATCCGTAAGCAGTTCTATGGGTCTCCCCTCCAAGTTCAAAGGGAGGATTTAGACACCTTCAGCTACACAGCAAATTTATCTGCTGACCAGGGACATCTCAATCTGCATTTGTCTGTGCCTGGGGAAAGAACCACACTACCTTCCCCCAGATTACAACATTCCATCTTTATTGTCCATCACAAATCACGGTGCAGTATAACTCATTTCATCCTCAACGCAAATAAGAGCAAAGTTCTAGATGGCTCATAGAAAACAAAGAAACTCTGTTTGAGCCACGCTCTCTTCCATACCACTTGTACAAAGCTGTGTGTTTGTTTCATTTTTTTTTGTTTTATTTTGCTTTTAAGAACTTTTAATTTAGTGAGCCCACCTCTGTGAGTGCAGTCACCGGGTATTTATGCGAATCAAAACGAGCAGTCTGTAGGGACATTTTTTACTATCAAAATTTCCCAGTAATTAATACAACACTGGAAATAAGACAACACTGGAAAAAGGATGAACTTCACAAAAGTGTATAATTTTTATACAAAAGTGCTTCTATAATTTCTGTACTAATTTCAACAAGTTACACTAGGATGACTTCTTTTTGTAAATAAGCCTTTGGCTCACCCTTCTATGTGAACACTTTGTATAGATGTAGGAGACGAAAGACCTCAGGGGCTCTCTCCTTTGGAGGTTCATGTTCCCAATTAGTCTGGAAGGAAAAATTGGTCTGAAGCACCAGCATAACGTCATGAAAAACTGACATGTTACAACAATGTTGTAACTTCACAATGACTTGCCCACTGCCTGCGGGCCATGGAAGTATTTGATAACATCTGAACAATCCCAGAGAATTTGGGAGAGAGGCAAACACCAAAACATGCCCTTGACTAGGGGCAAAAAAAAAAAGCAGGAAAAATTGGTCAAGAAGAAAGAAACATCGGATTCCGGTTTAAACAGAACAAGGTTTAGCACAGGCTACAGACCTCCAAATGCTGGAAGCTAAAGAATAGTTTAAAAATAAAATTTCTAAGGTAGACAACTACCTTTCATTTCTTTATTTATACAATAACAAAATCAGTGAGCAACATATAAGAATTTCCAGAACTACCGGGTGCCAAAGCTTGACAAACATAAGACAGACCTGATTAAAAGAATATTTTCAGGTGTCGTTAGCTGAAAAAGTGAACTTCAAAGGACATTCTGGTGTCCCAATTTCATTAGCTAAAAGAATACATATATAAATCTAAAGCATGTTTCACAAGCTTAGGAGGCTACAAATACCACACGTCAGCTCAAAATGCACTAATAAAAGAGTCCAACACTCTCATAAAAAGTAAACCAGAGACACAAACAGACCTTACCTACCATGATGCTGTCAGGCATTACTAGGATATAACGAAGCTCAAGCTCGCAGAACACTTTTGCCAGGAATTTAACTACAGCCATGAATATACTGTTTAGTTGACATAGCAAAAAATTAAGTATGCCATAATGATTAAACAGATACAGCACAACATCAAACAACAGCAAATGTAGCAAAATCTCCTGTTTCTTCACATGCAACTCAGAAAAAAACTAAAAACACAACGCCAACCAACACTTCACACAGAAAAACACACTGGGAATTACAGGCAAAATCAGCACAATACATAATTTCAGGTTCACTTACAGTGAATTTTTCTGTTGTGCCGCATGAGAAACAAGATAAAATGAAAAGCACACAATGATAAACCATCTTCTAGATCTACAACAATATTTTGCAAACAAGAAATTATTTAGGCATTAAAGGAAACTTAGCACTCAAAAGATTATTTTACGATAGAGAAGAAGAGATAGTGATGATATTAGAGCCTAATATTTTATTAACATGTTTCCTCCCGCTCCCAGGTTTATAAATATGATGGATTTAACCTCTCGGGCATATTCCCTGCATTGACACATGCTAACATGTTGCACAGTACATCCCCGAAACAGATGCAGAACAATAAAACAGCGGATCAGCAACTGAACAGCAAAACTGCAGTTCCCGAAGAACTACTTGAACTTGCTCCAGTGCTGCTTCAGTACGTGCAGTTTATTCAGTCTTAACCCTCCTGGCCCCCAGAATTTTCAAAAACTACCTCTTACTTTGTCTAAGGAAGGAACGGGTAAAAGATTTGTCTGAGTTAATACTCACTGGTTTTCCAGTGTCGCATTATGCTACCAGACCGTCGGGTGGCAGCAGCAAAGCACACTGTGTAGGACCTTAGTGAAAACCAAAACCCCTCAACATCTGGGGGTTCCCAAACTGTGATATACGAGTTTGATGCTCCATCAAATTCTTCAAGAAAAAAAGAGTACAAAACAAAAATAATTTTGAAACTTCCACCTGCAACCTGCAAACAACTGCGTTACAATCACAAACCCACCAGGTAGTGAGTGTGGAGCTCAAAGCAGTCATGACTCCAGCCAAAAATCAGCAAAGTTAAACTAATTTTTCTTAAGCAATTGTTTTCAAATACAAATACTTCGGGGGAAAAAAAAATATCAAAAAAAGACAGTCTAGCTACCTTTTAACCATACAGTGCTTCTCAAAAACCAACACAAAGCACCCTGTTGTAACCCCTGGGCCAGGAGCTAGACACGGCAGCAGTGACAGCAGGTAGCACAGGCGTGTTCTGCCAGAGGCTTTCAGAGAAATGTGAAATGTGTAGAAAAGTGACAGAGAAGGGAGAAAAGGAAAACTGAAGCAGGAACCTGACCCTCATGCTATTGCTCTATAGGCCCTCAGACCAGGCCTTCACTTCTAGGAAACATGTACCAGTTATAAATGAACTACTAACATAGTTTCACTTACCACAATGGGTGAAGACATGCTGTGGTCTGATCTGAGGTTTAAAGAAAGCCTCAGGAAGCCGCTTCACGGCACTAATTTAAGCACAAGCTTACATGCTGGTCTCTGGAATTCTGTTTATTTTGGTCTGAAAGCTGCAATATGGGCACTAGAAATGTTTACATCCAGTAAACGTAAATTCTGCAGCAGTATCTTCTGGCAACGCTAGCTGCGTTCAGGAAAGTAGGTGAGTCTAGACTCAAATGCTGTTTGAGTAATACAGGCTTTTTAGCACAGTGGTGACGTTTTCTTTTTAAGAATAAAATGCTGGAAGTTTTTCCTTACGTACTGAGAACTTTCCTTTTCATTATCACTTGACAAACAAGATTTTGGTAGGATAATATGATATGTTCTCTGGTTATATTTCACATCACTTCTGATGCTGTAAGTCCTGAATGCAATATTCTATGCAACTGCTAAGACAGAATTCTAGACGTAGAAATGGAATGGGAATTACAATCTTCATATTAGAAATACTCTCTAAAAGCCTTGCTCTGCTGGCATGATTTTATCAGAAACACGAGCAAGCCAACACACAAAAACATTATCATGAGGAATAATCTTTCATTTTAACAGCAGTTCTTCATTTGATTGATTAAAACAGGAAAAGAAATTTCTCGTGTGCCTGAAATCTCAGGTTTTTAAATTTGTTTTTTTAAAAAGGTTTGTTTCCTCTTTTGATCTCTCTAATTGATATTTCTCAATTGTAGTGCCTCAGAAGCTCCCACCAATGCAGCCTAAAGCTTAAGTCCATCAACTTCATAGTCAAGCAGGAAAAGAAAACTGAACGGTATGTGTACCGTGGTAACCGCACACACCACTCCTCTGCGATCACAGAGCACAGGTTCTCCGAGACACCCACTCAAGTGGATGCTTAACTTCTCACACACCCCTACAAAAGATGGTCCTTGGCTGACGCAGCACTCTGCTCAGGAGCACAGTGCACCATGCACTCACGGAGGCTGTGCCACTGTGGCTTCTGCTCCCTCAGACACAGGAACCCCGTCTGGGGTGTGTATGGATTCTATGGATTCAGCATGGAGTCAGCCAGCTTTCAAGCACTGTCAGCACCATCACCTCGTGCCTGGTTTTTTGTTTGGTTTTGGTTTTTGGCTTGGGGTTGGGGTTTTTTTCTATCTCCCCTGGGTTTGTACTGCTTTAAATTATCAGAATTATGGCAACATGGGCACAACTGAGGGCCTCAGAAGTAACTAAACCATGCTTTGTTTTTTTTTTACTAATTCCCAATGCAAGACCAAAATATTTATTCCTTGATGCACTACACTCCAAAGAAAGTCCATATGCCATTCCCTTTCCTCCATCCAATTCACCACTATTTGAAGATGTATTTACAAGGATTTTTCTACTCTTTCATCTCTTTGCCCCTAATCTAAAGCTTGTGGGTTTAGGTTTTTTTGTTTCGTTGTTGTTTTTTTTAACAGTTAACAGCTACCATGTAATTTTTAACTGATGGAAAACAAGCCAAACTGAGGAACAATCTCTACTGTGCTAATATGCTTAGGTCTCTATGACATTTTCTATGATCATGTGACAAAATAATAATGTCCAGAAACTCACCTCCACCAGTTTGGCCAGCAGTCAGCTGTGGTCCCATTTCTCGCAGACCTTCACTGTCCACCGGGTAAGTGGATGTCTGAGATGAACTTGTTCCTTGGTTATCATCATCACCCAGGGCTGTGGTCTGAGCCCTGAGCATTTCCAGGGCTCCTATGCTTGCCATCTCCTCAAAACCTTCCGACATCTGAGCCAAGGGAGAATCTCGAGACGCAGAGAGAAACGGGGTGTCCAGAGGCGAACTTGGAGGGGACAATGATGACAAGGAGGACCGCGACGACAGGGACGCCAGGGACTGTGGGGTGTCCAGAGACCTCCGCTGCTTACTGAAATTCGAGTGTCCAACGGGATCAGCGTAGGGCACGTCCTTTGTGAGCGACTCGAAGGGAATTATGTCAAAGCGCAAATGGTGGCTGTAGTCTGTAACACTGTCTGACTTGTCATACTGTGGAAGGCCATAGATGTCCGTGAAGCTGACCGAGCTGAGGGAGCCTCTGCTGGAGGCCAGGGATCCTCGGCTGGAGGCCAAGGATCCCCGGCTGCTGCCAGAGGACATGGTGAGGGTACTAGCCGACAGAGTACTGCAGGCAAAGAAAGAGAAAACAGAAAAGGCCCTTTCAAATCTAGTCACAAACACTAGCGCAGGCATAAAAATGTCAATCCAGATTACACTAGCAATTCTACCCCCATGCAGTACAGTGACACAGAGAGACGATCTGGCATTTTAAGGTCTAGCTTGTGTCTCTTGCCCTGGTCTCAAGCACAACCATAACTCGAACAGCACAAGTGACAACCAAATCAGGACCACGTGCCTGAAGACAATGGGTCCAACAGGATGAGCCTACTCTTTCCTCCAACATGTAAGCAGCCATAATTTGGCAAAAAACAGGCCAGAGCAGAATCTGGATCACTGGACTCCATGTAAAGCCGGGAAGGGTAGATTACCATGATGCAGCTTGAATTTAAGTTAATGATGGGTCATAAGCATATCAGAGAGAAGAGGTGAGAATGGGTTTGGAAAGTCCTAACAAACTGCTGCATAAGCCAAAAAGACTCCAGGATGAATCTTACTCCAGTTCCTCTTACCACTCTCAGACAGTTAGGGAGAGAAGAACATACGTGACAGGGAGATTAAGTGAGAGACAGCAGGAACTCAGCTTTTGATGTTGGCATGGTGTTGAGTTGAGAAATCCCCAAGAGCTGCATCTAAAAAGGCAGCTGCGAGTGTGAATATGCAAAACATTCTGGGCTTCTGTATGGGTCTTAGCACATTCTCATATTTAAACAGCAAAATTTTGTCATCTCACCAGGGATCCAAAATGCCTCCTTTGGAGAAGGTATCAGAATATTAAACCTCACAGAACTTAAAGGAATGTTATCTTCATATTAGTAAAACTGTAACAATATTACAACAGGTTTTAAGTACCTATCTTCTTTTCAGAAAATCAGATAACAAAATTCCCAAACACACATAATAATCTAGCCCAAGTAGCCATCACTAATACTATTTATAAAGCTCCATCCTAACCACCACATTCCATAGACGAAACTGTATAAATTCAGTAAAAAATTAATTTACTTGTCACACATACATAAAAGTATTGAAAGGTAAAATGTATAGATAATTAATATTATTCTCTGCTGGAGTTCAAAACCTGTTGGTTTTACGTAACTCACCTTTTTAACTGGGAGTGTAAATATGAGGTTAAACGTGTAGCTTCTTCTAGTTGCATAAGCAAACAATTTCTCTTTTCCTGTAACAGTATCCTATAATTAAACAGATACATATCACTATTTTTCTTCCTTACAGTAGTGCTCAAGAAGTGCTAGGAGCTTTCCAAGTACAGAAAAATATCATTGCATTGCAGTTTGGAATATAAAAAGAAGTTTCACTGTTTAATGAAAAGTTTTAATTTATGCAGTTCATATGCAGCAATGGAAATTCCAGCAAGAACACCAGAGCCAAGACTCCAGCAGAATTCCCAGGCAAGAAAAGTAATTGAGGCACAATGTAAGAATCATGATGTCGAAAACACATTACAGCAATTAGCAAAGTCATAAAAAGTCCTAGGTAAGAACACCAGACTCTACAAGATTTTTTTTTTCTTCCCTTGCATCAACCCGATTGTGTCAGTAAAATAGAGAACTACTATGACTTTTGTCACCTTGGCAGGGAAAAAATACTCCAAATAGCCCTATTATCCAAGATAATTAGTGTCAAATTTCAAAGACAAAAAGAAAATTTTTGGAGGACTTCTGTTAAGCAGTAACCATAAAACTCAACTTCAAGCTCTAATTCTAGGTGTTTCAAGTACATTTATATATACATTTATACTTGAGCAGGTGATACAACATTTTGAATACTAAGCCATGACAAAAATCTCTTGCTGCGACTTATTTTTTGCCCGTTCTAATAACAAGCAGCTGAATTGCTCAGTATCACTGCCACAACACAAATGGAGTGTGCCTGTAATGCTGTTGGTCTCGCATCTATAAGATATCTTATATTCTGTATTTTGATTATCTTAAGATATCTTAAATTTCTATATTTTGATATTATTAAAACTTAGAAATCACACTTATTCTATTTTCTGAATCCAGAGTTACAAGTATTCCTGGTGTTTCATCTTTTCAATCTCAATCACTGAACTTTGAAATAAAATCAGGGTGGTAAGTCTGTTTTGGAGAACGCAGATCAAACTCATTTGTATGCTTCAGACCTTCCTCAACGGCAAAGACAGCTGCTAGAATTCAACACATTAACAGGTTGGACAGAAAAATATCAACAAAAAGGGAGTTCTTCTTGATAAAACAAAATGGCAGCCTTAGTTTCAGTAACTCTGGACGGTTAAGACATGGAAAAAATATGTTAGCTGTTAAAAAATAAATCTCTCAACTCCCTTGGCCTCCAACTCCATCAATTCATATGCTGGCAAGGGGCTGTAGCGCTACGCTCCAGCTACCCCACCGCCCTCTGGGGAGGTTCCCTTCATCGCCACCCCACAGCAGAAGCTGCACACCCAAGCACGTGCAACGCTGAAGCTTTTCTCCTGTTTCCACAGATCCCAGAGCAAGTGGTGCAAAGGAAGGCTGCAGCTCAGCTATGTAAACTTAACATGATAAAAGCACTGAACGAAGGAACCAAAAAAAGACAAATGGATGCAAGAAACATAACTGATACAAAAGCTTGCAGGGGAAAGAAGGGGTACTCACACCATCTACTTTAAAAAACAATCCTAGGAACCTACACTCCACAGTCACCAGTGCTGTGAGGCAGGCACCCGTGCTAAAGAGAACCTCAACTAAGACTACCACCCAACCTTAAAAAAAAACAAAACCAAAACCAAACCCTTTGGCACACAGATTTTAAGTTAGTTTTGATCTGCCCAAAACTCAGTGCCTTTAAAACTCACTAACAGAACAGAACTGGTAATTATTTAAAGAGGAAATTTCTTTGTATTCCATGATTAGGAAAATGGAAATAGAAAGGAAGACCTAGGAATGATTTTGGTTATTCCTGAGCCTAAAACAAACAAACAAACAAATAAGGGCTACTAATAGTTAAGCTTTTCTCCAATTTGTTATACAAAAATAGAGCGCCCTTCAATATTATTCTAACTTCTACTCAACTTTTTGCTGGCATTTGAAATATCAAGTATCACACTGGAATGCTGGTTTCCACAGCATGAACTACATGGAAAAATAGCTTGGCCTTCTTGCCAACATAGTATGCACTACCTAACATGAGAGCCCAAAAACAACAAATAAAACTTACTACACTGAGGTGTAAAGTGAACTCCCTTTTCTGTCAGTTTAAGCTGGAAAGCCAGTGTAACAATATTGCAAAAATTGCAAAATATATAACATTTAACTGTAGGTTGGCTGTGAATTTTCTATTTATAGCCCAGGTTTACTGTCTGAAGTAAGCCTTTTCAAAGGAACTAACGTTCTTAAAATTTCTATATAGAAGACACTTCCAAATATTTTAGAAGTGTCTTAATTATGTAATTATTAACCTTTACGCAGATCACATCAAAGCTGGTTCATGCAGTTTTCCTCAAGTATCAAACCTGGGTTTTTACCCAGATAAAGAGAAGACCCAGGTTAAGAGAAGCAAGTCTGGGAAACAAGAACAAGTACCTTCTCTCTTTCACTGCAAGTGGTCTATGGTAACAAAAAGAGCTTAAGAGGTTTTGTCCATTTCTTTGGCTACAGGAAAAATTGAGCAACTTTGAAATAAACACAGTGTTTCCATTAATAAGTTTTAGGGCTGTTTGTTTTTACATACAACTTCATATTTAATTTAAATTTTCAAGAATGACTTTGTTCACTGTGTTCTCTGAATGCCAGAGTTGGGATGTGTTCCCACTGCTGAGACTGCAAATTGAAAGGAAAAACTGTATGCAAAATGCAGTAAAAATCATTTAACTTTCCTGTTATAAGGCAGAAACCCAATATAGGAAAGCATCTTTGTTCTGATGCTTTTGGAGATGAATATTACCCCACTGCAAAATAACAGAAACATCTTTCACTATCCAGGTCTCTGTTATCAGACAATATCGCACAGACTTTTTCCAAGCATCTTTCATGACTCTGTTCTGACCTCTTCTTCCTATTCAGATTTCTTAGATGAATTAAAGGAGAACTGATTAGTTGACGTCGCTCTAACTCTCCCTCAGAAAACTTCAAGACAGACAGATTTAAATAATGGCAGCTAGGAGCAGCCTCTTCCTTTTTTGAAAACAAATTACGCTAGTAAGATTTTTGTTTGTTTTCACAGTGAAACTCCCTACTCTTCCTTTGGAAACTACCTATATGGATCTTACAGTAGATAAGAAAACAATTTAAGTTCCCAGACCTTTCAGTGGCCCCATGAGCAGACGTTGCTCGAGCCCGCTGAATTTCATCCTCCAGGCGTCTTTTTTCTTCCTCCAAACGTGCAACATCTTCTGGGGATCGTCTCTGCTGACTGATGACCTGCAGCTCCTGAAGAAGAGCCTCCTTCTCTTTGATGAGCTGAAGACGGTCCCTGTCCGCTTCAGCCATTCCTGGCCAAGATTCATTGTCTAGCAAGGCCAGCTGCTGTTGTATATTCGAAACTCTTTAAAAGAGGATAAATACATTTTAAAACACAGAAAAGACAAAGATGAGGACAATAAGAGGAAAAATACCAAGAGTTCATGTGAAGCATGTCGACTTCTGCGACTTTCTTCTTCTAAATTTCGAAACAAGAAAAATTAGAGGAGTTTGGAAGGATTATTTGTTTCTGGGTTTTGGGATGGTTTGGTTTTTGTTTGTTTGTTTGTTTTGTGTATTTTTAAAGCACTAAAGAACTGCAAGTGCTCCTAGGTGTGTAGCTGTATAAGAACTACAGTGCATTTATTTATCACACGGACAGTATCTGCCTTCAAAGCTTGCCATGTCTCCTCATCTTGTAATAAACCAATTCATATTTTAGAGCTCTTGAGTTTGCTGCCTGTACAGCTGATGAAAATGAACATCCTTTCATTCCTCATTCTTCCACTACCACATGTAAACTTGGGATTTCAAAAGTACAGTGAGAAGTTGAAGGTGATGAATGGGAAATGCTTATCTAGTGACGTATATTCATGTCCCATCTCACCAGAGGAATGGTTCAAGGGGCTGAAAATATTAGGCAGTCCCGACTGTCGCGGTTTAACACCAGTCAGCAGCTAAGCACCACACAGCTGCTCGTGCAACGCTCCCTCTCCCTCCCCCCCAAGTAGGATGGGGGAGAGAATCAGGAGGGTAAAAATGAGAAAACCCATGGGTTGAGATAAAAACTGTTTAAAAACAGAAATAAAATAAAATAATACAAATAAATTGTAATGAAAAGGAGAATAACAAAACAGGAAAATAAAACTCAAGAAAAACAAGTGATGCAAATGAAGAACAACTGCTCACCACCAACTGATCCCCAGCCTGTCCCCGAGCAGCGGCCCCCGCCAGCTGTTCCCCCAGTTCATATACCGAGCATGATGTCATATGGTATGGGATACCCCTTCGGTCAGGGTCAGCTCCCCCAGCCATGACCCCTCCGAGCTTCTTGTGCACCCCCAGCCCACTGGCTGGTGGGGTGGTGTGACATGCGGAAAGGGCCTTGACTCTGTGTAAGCGCTGCTCAGCAGTAACTCAAACATCCCTGTGTTATCAACATTATTCTCATCCTAAATCAAAAACACAGCACTATACCACAAATTCAGTTGTACACCTCAGTTTCATCTTCACTTTGAAATGGTAGCATTCAAAGTTCAGTGCACCATAAAAGATTATCACCATTTAAATAAATAAATAAATAAATAAAAGTACATTTAAAGCCAGCCATAAAAGTTGGATATGCATTCATTCTTTTGGTAAATTAAAGTAATCCTTTTTCCAAAATATCTGGTAAGAAAGAAAAGATAATAACAAACAAAGCAAGGTGAAAGCACGTAACAAGTAAACAGAAGATCTGCAGTGTGGTAACACATGTTTCAGAATAAAAGAAAAGGCAAAGGCATGACAAAGATAACGTTTTCCCCATATGAAAATAAAACCTCATGCAATGTTTATTTCATACCAACATCTGGAAAGTATTTGGCCATCTTATTATCAGGGGAAGGGAAATAAAATATCAATATAAGTAATTTTGCAATGACTGCATTCATATATGAAGAGGAATTTTACTGCAAATTTTGTCAAATAGACTCCCCCCCCTTAAATTTAATTTACAGCAAGTAAATCACTTTAGTGTTCTGTTACATTTCAGTCTAAAGCAGAATACTTTATCAAGCCATTCAGTACCATTTCCTCCTCCTTGCATTCACAACCAGCTTCCTGCCCACAGCTACTGACCGCACCGCTGTGAATCAATACACGTACAGTCTGCACGTTTCATGCTATTGTGCTTGGATTCCAGATGCAGCTTCCTGAAGAACACCTCGCCTACTCAACCAAACGTCAGGGCCAGGAAGAGCGAGCAGAGTCAGGATCTCCCTCCTCTCCCCTACCCAGGCTGCCACGCTGTTAAAAACTCAGTAAACACTCCTGAAGGCATACGCTGCTTGATTTTCAAGTGTTCAGCGCCACAGGAAATAAATGGGAACTCAAGTTCCTTTCAGCAGAATTACAGAATTTGGGTGCAACTGGGTTATCACAGCTTGGCAAGCGAGCGTGAACCAGAAGAGCCCTGGCAATCTATGTGAGTGACCACGTTCATAAGCTCTTACATAGCTTGCGGATGAAAGAAGATGAGATGTGTCTGGTGAAGTCTCTGGGTTGTTTTATAAGATAGCTAAAGGACCCTCTCCTCCCATTTTAACACTCACAATTGTTTTGCTAGCTATTTTTCTAATGCAGGGTGAGCTGGTTAAGCAGCTGACCATAGGAGCAAATAAATCCTAATGCAGGCAGCAAGGAAGAGAGAAGTACCAGCAGGCAAGAGGGGAAGGCGGAATCCCCCCTTTCAGTGCCAACCGACCACTGAAACAGCTCGGCTGCAGAGTAAAACACCATCCTCAATACAAGAGGTTTTAATTTAGACTCTTGAGCCTGCTGAGAGCACGTAACTCCCTTTGTGTATGACATTCCAGTTTAAAGTTTGTTTTTTCCCCTCAATTTCTGTTATGATGATGCTTTGAAAGTAGGAAGTTATTGTACACTAACTTAATTATACCGTTATTAAAGGGAAAAGTACTGCTGTGGACAAGGTTTGTATAACCCAAGAGTTCCAAAATCTGATCAGGTATTTATTTTTATTCCCTTGACACTCAGCATTGCAACTAGCTCTTCTTTTCTTTACATTTTCCCCTTTAAGCAAAGTAAAAGCACTTGCAAAACACTACACAATGCAGGAAATCTGCTGGGAGGGGAACTTCAGCATCAGTAAGCCACTTGTCTGCAACCTATATTTACTGCAAATGAGCTAAAGTTTTTTAGGAATTTTGTTGCTTGCTTTCCATTGAGGACTCCCTCTGTATGGCAAGTTTTTCCAAAAATCTACCAGTGATAAACTTTTAAAAATTTATCTCCTTGGCTAGAAAACATCTCTAAGGCTTTTATGGTCTCACTCACTCAAGCCTGAGAAAAATGTCTGAAGAGTCATGTTCAGTTCTGCTAAAAACATAATAAAAAAATCCTCTTAAGCATGTTCCATAATTACAATTTGTCTTCTCTGAACACAAACTTTTCTTCCCAAACACAATAAATGCATACATAAACCACTTCACCGCGCTTGTCCATGCCAGATTTTATACCTATACTACACCAGCCAGTCTCACTGCTGGTTATGTTACAAAACCGTGACTGTTCTGCATTTTCAGTCTCAGTGCATATATTCACCTACCTTAAACACACGCTTAAATAAATCAATGACTTGACATAGATTGCAGTTTAAAGGAAAAAAAATAGGATCCTTTATGAAGCCTGTTTTTCAAACACATTTTTCCTTCCTACTGGGTACTTTTTAAGATACTACATCTTAAGTGTAGCCACTGTAAAAGAGTACTTTTATCTGGCCTAATGCCAAATACTGAGGTCCCTACTGATACAGCAATTTAATCCTGGGGAAAAAACAGTTAATTTTGAGCCATCAACATTCCAGGCATTTTGCCCATTCCCATCCTTGCATAACAAGTGCTGAGGAGCTTGCATTCCACGTTCGAGTAGGTGGTATCAAATGACTGGTTTCCTAGGTAGGCAGACAGACTTGCTGCTTATTTCAGTATTTTAAAATTTCAAATGGAAATGAATATAACAGCTCCTGTTAAGCAGAAAAGCAGGAGGGGCACAGATAGGACGACAAAGGTTTAATCTGGTGATTTAAGTAAACACCGATTCCAAATGGCAAATTTGCCCTGAAATGGACATACTAATGTAGCTACAATGATGCCTTACCTCAACATACTGTAGATGGGTACAGCCAGTAGTTTACTATGCAAATTACACCATGTGGGAAAAAAAGCACTTATTTTCAGAACTTACAGCATGTCTGAATCGTTATGTATCTACACAGACCCCTCTAGACAAAAGCCTTGCCCTCTAGGGCAAGCCTTCTGACACTGAAAATACCTGGGGAACCTAAAAGATTTCGTTAGTGTGAAGAACTTCATTTTCAAGACCTCTGTCTGAACCCAGCACTAATGAAATTGTACTGCTGAGCTTGAGAACATTTCAGTTTACAAGAGGTTATTTATTAAAATACAGCATGAGAAGTGGTATTAAAGTAAAAATCACTTTTTGTGAGATGAAAGAGTCTGATTTACAATTACAATTAACCCTATGTTTAGACCATTACTCAGATTATGAACAAGACAGGTGTTTTGAGGAGGGAAATACTCTGAAGGAATACAAAGGTCCTACCCCATGCTCCTAAAAGAGACAAATTATGGGTATCCTACAGCTGGCACTTCTAACCTGGAAGCTCTGGTCTTTCTAGCTCAAACAAATTCTTCGAACTTACTTTGGCATTTCCAAGAAAAAAAAAACCAATACCCCCCTACATTTAAATGCCTAGACTTCTGGGTGATGTGTCACCCCCCTCTACAGCTGAGGCCTTTTTTACCAGTGGAATGGGAAGACTGGTGGAAGCTAAAATAACAAAAAAAAAAAATCCATGGTTATGATTTGGAGGAGAACGATGGTTAAGATCGCACTAATACACAAAGATGATCAACATTGGACCCAGTTCTCTGCCACTTCAGGTAACAGGGAACTTCTTCTATGTACAATACCCAGAGCAGGTGGCTGTGGGACCGAAGACTTGTAATGAAGGGTGTAAGAACTCGGTAATTTCTGGTATTTCTGGACCCTCTTGAGAGTGGATTATGATTTATATCCAAAGAGGGGAAGGAAAGAGAAAGGGAAAGAAAGAAATGGAAAGAACAAGAAGCTGGGGAACTCAGCCAAATGCTCACAAAATTTCTCCACTGTGTCTGCTTGGCTGTTCCTGCAAGTATGTGCCACTGTGGCTTTGGCGGACAACACGAGTACGCTCTGTAGAATATCCTGCCTTCCTGGCCGCCCGCTTCAACAACAAGGAGGTCTTAAATTGGCTAAGACACTCATGAAGCCTCTAGATTCCACAGGCATTTTGCAGATAAAAATAAGTATTCACCTTTAAGAAAATTACAAAGCCTGCTAAAACCAGTGGAGGAGAGGAATTAGTATTTTCCCCAACTAACAGGCAAACTGGTATAATGAAAACTTCAAAGACAGTTCAAGAGCATGGCTCAGCTCCCTTTATAACCCAAAGAAAAAGTTTTATGTTTAGAAACTGACCCTGGGAGATTTAGGTTTAGCTGAGCCAGATATTTATGTGATATCAGGCAAATTACTTCATCCCTAAATCAGATTTTCAGATTAGTTCAGCAGAATAAAGCATACAAATCCCCTGGAATTTCACTAGAGATTTGGCAATTACACCTTGAAACCTGCTTACACAGGATGAATTTTAACAGGAAAATACTTGCCTATGTTACTGTATCAGCACTGGAATGTTGCTATCAATATCCAACCAACATGTATTTTGTCAGTACAGGCACAAATCGCACTGAGGCATTTCTGCTTGTGCTAGTGCTTTTAAAAGCCCAACTGAAAATTAGTTTCAGTTATGGGGCAACAAGTTTGCAACAAAGTATCTACTCAGCCACTATACTAAGCAGAAATAAGTAACACTCTTAAGGGAATGTGGAAATACTAAGCATAGCTGAGGAAGAGGCTTTTTCAAGGCTAAAATAAATCTGTTGACAGCCACTGTAAGATTTAAACAACTGAAATGAAAAATGACATCTTTGACTATAAATTTACAGACGGCATAAAAAAATTACTGCTTTTGCACCCAAATCAGATAAGCTGGTTGAAGATGCTTGGATGTATTAGTTCATTAAAGTCAGCTACTATCAGATTGGATTATAAAAAGATAAAAACTTCAAAATTTTGGTGCTTCTTACTGGAGGGATCATTTTTCTTCTATTGATTAATACACTTCACAGGATATGAGGCACTGCAGCAATGACATTTCATGATCGTTTGCTAATATACTTCACGTAGTCATTATACTGAGCTGAACAACTTAAGAGTTATCAAAGAAAAACAATTTGCTTTTCATCCCTCTTTCTATGAAACAGTCTATTCAGGAAAGTGCTTGAGGGGTACACTTTCTAGTGTGCAAATGCTTTCATGAGAGGTGGTCTCACTGAAATAGCAACTGAAACTAAAAACGGTATTTATCCAGGCAGCTAGGGGCTGCATGTTCAAAAAGACCGTCCTCCCTCCCTCCTGCTTTTCTGGAGGGCCACACTGACAGATCTGAGAGAAGAAATTTCATGGAAATAAGGTACAGTTTTTTAAAAAAAAGGGGGGGGGGGGGGGAGGAGAAAAGAAGAAAAGTGATTGAGCCTCTCTTTAGCATGATTGCCAAGTTAAAAAGTAGAACTTGCATGCCTCCTCCCAGAGCCTGGATAAGACACAGGAGAGGACCTCTTCCCCACTGCGCTGGAGATGTCAGAACCCACAGCTCACAACATCTGAAATACCCACAGGAAAAATTAAATTGCAGATTATTCAACTTCCTTCCAGTGGGAAACTCAAGGGGGGAAAAAAAAGCTATATGCATGTCTTAATTTATGCAGAGGTGAAACCACTCAGTAGTTAGAGAGATTTTTGAAGGAGGAATTAAAACAAAATTATCTTTTATGAGGGAGGAGAGATATGCCAGGAGTATAAGCCAACTTCTCAACTATCACCGGGTCTCGTCTCCCAAATTCCTCAAGACAGTTCATTCAGAAATCCCAGCACTGCATTTCCCTGCTAAGATACCATATACAGAGAACATATTTTTAAAAACTGCTTTACTACATATGGCAAATATTCTGCTCCTATCTAGAGCTGTATGATCTTATGGCTAGATTCACAAGAGTGACTAAAATGCAACACTCCGCCCTTCAGTTTGTGGAGCTTTTTTCCTGCTTTCCTTTAAGGCAAAAGACATACTTTTCTTGTTTAAAAGTCTCCCATTAAAACTTGGAAATAAAACAGTTTGTCTGTTGTACTTCTTTGCTATATGTTGCCACACTCCGTTTGACAAGCAAATAGTCATAATACACTGCTTCACAGTTGTGACATACTGTAGCATTTTAATTTTCTACTTTCTAGATTTTAATCCATCGCAGCACATTCCATCACCCACACTGTGCAGTCACAGTAGATATTTCACCAGCCAACGAAGAACGAACACAAAGATATTTAGTAGAGACAAAAGCCCTACAGAAACGCCAGCAAGCTAAGGGGAAGGAATGCATGATAAATGAAGAATGCAACCACAGAGATAACTGGTAGGGGCAATGGGCTTTGTGCAGTTCCACTCAAAAGCTGAAAGCTGATTACTTCCGTGCAACAGACTGGGTAGAATAAGGCTACTATTTTAAAGCAACTAACATGCTTTTGCTAAATAACGGACCACTGTCAGAGCTGCTATCCCAGGACAGCAAAACTACCCTTACTGCAATTACTATTCTCCGATTGGAAGGTTAGTTAGCCAGATCTTCTACACTTAATTGACATCAAACCCCAGCTCACTTCTGATGTTCAGAAATACTGCATTCCATGCATAAACAAATGTTAGGCATTTCCAGCAAAGAAATGCTTCTGCTACCAAAAAAACCCAAAACCCAAAACAAAAAAAAAACCCCACCAACCCAAAAAAGTCCCACCACTCTATCTTTTCCCTGCAACAACACACCAGAATTGTTTCAAAAAAACACATCAAAAAGGTATGTCAGAAAACCGAACTAACCAGTATAGAACTGAAATCTATCCTCCTTTCAGCAGCTGTGATGAACACCTAAATTATCACTGGACTATTAAGTGCTGAGGGTTAAGCCTGTGACCAAAGAGGACACTGAGGGGTTCTTGTTTTGCCCTTTTTTTCACCAATTGTTTAACTTTTATTAAGCCAGTCACTGGTATTCACATGCAGTATTTTACAATGCAGACTTTCATTCCAATCACAAATCCTGAAGATTTAGTTGTGTATCTCTAATGTGCTTGCACCAACTTAATTTTTTTTTAAAGCCTGTAGTGCATCCAAATGTGGGTAAATTTTCCAAGAACAACAAAATGGCGAATTGCCTATAAAGCTTCCAATCCCTGCCAACAGATATGACAGCATTACAATTTCCCTCAAAGAAAAAGTCACTCTAATATGAAAAAAACATGAGGCAAAAGCATTGAACTTTTTTTAACCCTTGTTGTGAGAGATGTAAAAAAACTGGCAAAATAGACAAAGTTAAAAAGAACTAAGAAAAATCCTAAAAAAAATATTAAAAACTAAGGTTTTCAAAGTTAATTATACAGTCTTTCAAGTGTCAGTCAATTTTAGTAAGAGAATGTTTTATCAGCACAAATTAAAATAATCATAAGTGCATAAAATTACTGTGTTCGATTCATCATCCATACCTACACTACTGTCCTGAGTATGTGGCATATAGTTTGAAAACACTGAGGTTAAAGGAAGACCTGCTAAAATCTACTAGTAGAAAGAATTTTTAAAATAGTACTAAATAAGAATAGATTACTTTTACAAAGCCATGGAAAACACTGTAAGACTGACCTTCACAAAAGAAATAGTTACAATAAGCAATTACACTGAAGGACTTAGTGAAGAATTAATCTATTTTAAGGTAATTTAAAAAGGAAAATTATCAGAAGGGTTTTCTTTTTTTCAGTCTCAACATTTATTTTTATGTACCCTTTTGTTCACCTCTGAACATCTTCATTTATCTCACAGGAATTTCTGCATTCTTTCTTCACACTGAGTTTGCAGCTTCAGTATATTGAACTTAGAGCATAGGTTATGCAAAGCTCCGAATGTACTTTCATGACAATGACAGGGCCAGGCTGATACAAACCAAGTGTAAACTAAGAGACTGTTTATACCGAGCTTTGAGAAGAAGGGGAAGAAAATGTCAAACAGTTCAATTAAACTACTGCAATTTTTTGTTTATAGAAGTGTAGAACAGGGCTGACATTTAGCATTATCTCTGCAAACAAATGTAAGAATCTTATGATAAAGTCTTACGTTTACCTCAGTTTTTATTATCTGTGAACTACTCAATAGTAAGCAAATTAGTTTCCCCAAAGACAGTTCAAATAGGAGGCTGGTTCCAATCAAAAGAGTAAAAATTAAAAAACCAAATTTATCTTTAATTACCTTTTCTTGGCCTCTTCATATTGCCAGTTCAGTCTTACTTTGTCTACAAGTCTTGCTTTGTCATCGAATCCAAACTTTCGCAGAGTTGAAGAACAAGGAGAGAAGGGAAAAGAGAGGGAGAAATGAGATTTTAAAAACACTCTCACAATAAAGGAAGGGATAAATTAGTCTCCATTACTGGACTCATTAAAAAATCTCAATGCTTTAAGTAATAACATAATCAAAATCAATTTTATGCTTTAGAAATACAAAACTGGTTTATTGCTAAAATCACAAAAGATAAATGAGCCCTTTCAATACATCATGATTCTGGAAGTCAAGGATTAGCAAACAGAATCGCTTATGAATGGTCAAAGCTTTTCAACTTTATCCAAGCCTAAAATACAAACAGTATTTTTAATTCAAATATTTTATTACTTGATACAGCTATTGTACGGATAGCTTAATTAGAAGTAATTCAGATTACATTTCCTGTAGTGTAATATGTTATTCAGCACGTAGATCATTAGTGTGTTTTAAACACTATTACACAAACATCACCTGATCCTTGAACCAGTCATAGAATGTGCATTTATGCTACAGCTCCTACTGTATACAGTCCAGTTTCTACAGCAACTTCTCTCCATCTTATGGCATCAGCAGTTCCCCTCTTAAGAAGACTGCATACGATCTAACAGTTAAAACCCAAGTCCCTATTTAAGTGCACTGCTGCACCTCTAGACTTCTCATCTAATTGCTGCTTTTGCACTCTTCATCATCACACATGTAAAAAAATCCACCTCATTTTTACTCAGATTCCATTACCAATAATTCAGTAAAACAATTAACATAATTATGTAATGCCTTGGATAGCATTCAACGTGTGTTGTGAATGGGAAAACGCTGCTATGCTCTTTCTGGAATTCAATAATCACATCCACCACCAGTCCAAAAACTGACATCCCAAAGGCATCATCTACCTAACACATGGAAAGACAGCCTAGTGTTAGCTAAGTTTTCTTAGATGCTTTAGGAGTATATCTTCTTAAAAACACAGATTTCCTCCTCCGTAGGGCCCTCTGGAGACATCCAGCTTGCCAACTAGTCAGCAGTGAAAAGACAACAGAGGAGAAATGGGATGATAAAAGCCTACAATTAAAAAGTTACATAGTTCAGTAAAGATTTCTAACCAAATGTGGAGTAACATCCAAACTATAGTACTAACAAACTACAAACAGGCTGTCTTCTTGCTTTGTTGTCTGTCTCATCCACCGAGGCAAACGTTTTACTGCTCAAGAACAGCTGGGTTACCATAGTACTAGTGCAAGCCACATTTTTATTATTTGGAATACACAATTTCATTCACACAGAACTATTTCTAAGGGATGCTAGTATGTACTTTTCAAATACCATATTTAAAGGCACATTTGAGCATAAAGGTATGACAGACCAGATCAGAAGTTTTGTTAGTTTTTAGGAAAAATGAGACTCTAATACTTTCCTTGTCTCGTGTAGAGGAAATGAACAGAGATCTATCCTACATCTTTGATGTGTACGAACAATGATGACAAGCACGACAAAAACAAGATTAAACAAAAAAAAACAACCACACCCAGAAAAGCAAAAACCAAGAAACCGTCCATCACTACTACCAGAATACTAACATCTCATGCTGTTGGACAACCAGGTCTCTACTGCAACTTCAAGCTGGGTAACGCATTTTCTTCCTTCCTGCATCATTACAAGTATCAGTAAGAACTGGTGATACGAAGAGAAGTGGTCTGTGGACACCTTAGGAAAAGCTGTTACTCAGAGATGAACCTACAGTCACCAAAGTGATGACGTGAGCAGTGCTCTGCTGGGCTGGCTGAGTCTGGGAGCTGGTTCTACCTGTCACTGACCTGCAAGCACATCGCTACACCCCTGTGCCAAGCTCAAGCAGCAGAACCACAAAGCCCACCACACTCATGAGCGCTACTCACACGCTCTGGAAACAATGAGCAAACACAACTCCCTCACCACCAATACTGATTTGGATTTTTCATTCTGCTACAGCCAACACCTCTTAATTAAAACAGGAAATAATAATGTATCACTATAGAACCAGCCTTCTTTCTACAGCAAACCTCTCGCATAGGAATGCATACCTCTCCAGTGATATCAGTCTGAGAACAAGCATCGCAGTGTTGTTGAGGTAAACAGGAGTCGCTGAGCGAACCAGAATTGTGCTGGAGATCCTGCAGGGAATCTGTAATACAACAGCTATTCCTGAATCCATCTGTTAACTTGGCCAGGCTCTACAGGAGAAGAGATTTTAAAAAAATTTTAAAAAAAGAATTAGAAAAAATTATTCTTGTTTTCTATTAATAAAATTATTATAAAGAAAAAATTCTATTTTAAAAATACGACAGGTAGCTCGGCTATAAAGAGCTATTTACAGAAAGTAAAACTCATTGTAGTGCTATTAACATGCAGAAGCTTTGCTTGGAAATAAACTTCTTTTAAAAGACGCACCTGATGCTAACCAGATTTTTATACTTATTTTAGATCTATGAATGTTTTAGCATTTGTATGGCTTACAGTTCTTTAAATCTAGCAGCTGTCAGCTTTCAGGTTAGCTGATAGGGAAGACAAACGTGATTCACCTGCCCTTTTGCCATCTTCTGCACAGGTTACATTCCTTAGCCACTACTGCTATCACATCCAACTTGATGAATACCTTGTATTGATTGTATTTTTATGACAGCTGATTTCACCCTTGTGCTCTCTTACCCAAGGTTCACATAGTTAAGATATATTTTACACTTTGGGTTAGGGAAGGAACATCTGCAAGATGTCTAGACAATGATAAAGACTGTGAGCGTAAAGCAGAAACCTCAAGCATTCTTTAAGGGGAAAGGGGTGTAACACAGAATCATATAAAATAATAACAATAACTTGTTTGACAATACAAGCTTGATTGGCAGGCTCTTAATATTCCCTTAAAAAGATAAAATTGTTAACATCTCTTAATTTCTGACTGTGCGTTCTCTCTTTTTCAGAAACTGAAGATAATTTAGTATCAACAACAAAACCACTGTGCAGGCTGTCATTTATGACAGGGACCCTAAGCATTATGCATCAAAAGAACATTAAAAAAAAAGACATTAAAAAATTAAATTCTGACCCCTCACCACAAGATAAAGGACAACCAAATAATGTGGAAAAAAAATTATCAGAAATTTTAAAAGCTGTATGAATTTACAAATCACAACATAATCAAAACATTTGGTTCTAAAAATGCACATAAAAGCTCTCAAAACTGCTTCTTCCAGTGTCTAAACTACAGAATCAGAGACAAATCTGAAGCACCGCACTGAGAAAAGCCTGGCCCTCGGGAATCTCAGTGGCTCTGACAATTGGTGATTTGCAACAAGCCCCAGTTACTGTGCATATCCAATTACCAGGAGATTTCTCAGTCTTCGAAGTGCAGTTTAAAAAGAATAACACTGCCTTTTCTTACAACAAATTCAACTAATAGAGTCAAGAGGATGAATCTGTGTAACAGCAACTGGTTGCTGCTCACAGAAACAGCCAGACCACCTTGGAGATGAAGGCGTCCGGTTTCGGAGCCTAGGAAGCATCCGCAGGAATTGCAGCAGGCCTGAAACTACCCAGAAAAACATCTTTTTTCTGGTGGCCTCCATTTCCATCATATACAGTCCATCCCTTTGTTCCTATGATATACCAATTCCTCCCTCAGGCCTGCCTCCACGAGAGATGAAAAAGAGGGAAAACACGCCGGCTGACGCAGGACAAAGGAACGGGCGGGCTCCCCAGCCACAAGAGCGGGGTGCCTGCCCTCCTCCCTGCCGCCCCCCCTCTCACACACACTTTGTCTTCTTCCTGCTAGGGAAAGGCAGGGACAGACATAGGTACACGCCACGTGTGAGACAGCATGTGCTGTTCCCTCCCTGGTCTCCGTCTCCTGGTGCTACAGGGTCCAGGTGGGGCTGGGGTTTTGTGCTCAGCGCTGGCAGGGACAGAGGACAGTGCAGCGCGAAGCCAGACAGGACAGCCGTGGGACAAGGCTACCGCTATTTGCCTCCAGGAGCTCAATTTGTCCTGGGTCCCAAAAGAAAAGCAATTATTCTGCCATCTCCCAGCTGAACTGTGCCATCTTACTATGCAGGACAAAAAAAGTAGTTTCTTCTCAGTCCTGAGGCAGCAAAACTCAATTTCAAATTACATTGCCAAGAAGTCCCTACGTAGTGTTCCTTTATCCTCCAAGACTTGCTGCAAAACAAACTGCTCCACGACATGCCAAAAAGAAAATCACAGTGTCTTCCACTTTATGAAAATTGCAGACTCCTGTATAAATCTTTTCTTCAAAACTCACTGGAAATCATCCAGTCCTGTCAGTCTCCTGCTGTATGGAGGATATAGATGGATCTCTAATGGCTTTATAATATAGAAAAAATAATTTCAAATCACAGCTACACAAACAAACATCTAACATGGCCTCCTCACAGTAAAGCATGAGCCAGCCACATGAACAAAAACCGCGGATTCAGAAAGCCTGAGGTTTTTTGCCAAGAAGGCCAACGGGATCCTGGAGTGCATTAAGAGGAGTGTGGCCAGCAGGTTGAGGGAGGTTCTCCTCCTCCTCTCCTCTGCCCTAGTGAGGCCCCATCTGGAGTACTGTGTCCAGTTCTGGGCTCCCCAGTTCAAGAAAGATGAGGAACTACTGGAGAGAGTCCAGCGGAGGGCTACGAAGATGATGAGGGGACTGGAGCAGCTCTCCTGTGAGGAAAGGCTGACGGAGCTGGGCTTGTTCAGCCTGAAGAAGAGAAGGCTGAGAGGGGACCTTATAAATGCGTATAAATATCTCAAGGATGGGTGTCAGGAGGATGGGGCCA